ATATAGTCGTTACTGACCACTTTACAAAGCAAAAATAATAGGTTTGATTAAAACACGTGACATGATATAACGCGAGAATTTATCATCGTCATCGTCGTTGTTTTTATCTCAGTCACCATCATCGTCACTACCACAACTATGGCTATAACCGCGACTGAGACCGCGAAGAGATATTAATGTTACGTAATTAAAATACTTTCGTAGGTTTTGTGCATGGGAGGTGGACAGGTTATCCCGCATCTTGAAAAGTGGGTTGCCATTTATGACAAGCAAGTCCTACCCTTTCTCACCCTCGAAACCGTTAGATTTCTGGTACGTACTATCCATGTGATATGCCTTCCTACCTGTTTAACAATTGCTAATACATAATTTGGATTAAGAATTATGAATGATGGCAGCAAAGTTAATCGTATTAATACCGTATTATAATGATTTATTATGCGTAATATATTATTTTCGTATTACAAAAATATGAATGAAATAATTGCGCCTGCCACTGTCGGCATCTCACTTACTTCACCTTTCTTACTTTAGAACGGAATCCCGAGGCCTTTACCAAAATGGCAAAAGACTGTCAGCGTGGTAGAAGAATGTTCCGTGGCAACTCTAGAGAAGATAGCGCTGGAGGAGGAGGTAACGCGGATGGTAAGTAAACCGAGGCTTGAAGATGTACGAACCTATAATAAACACGTTATGAGCGAGTTTAAACTATATTATTGTATAAATAAAACAGGCATCTTCACAAACGTATCATTACATTGTATATAATTCTTCCTTGGCACTCGCCAGGAAAGTGGATCAAACAAGTCAGCTATGAATTAGAAAGTTAACAACTAATAAAGTGACTATCAATAAAACTTGCATAGCTTTTCGTAGTCGTTATTACCGCTGTACGAATCCAACGCAGAACTATAATTTCCTCCAAAGTCGACCTTCATGATAAAATATTTATGTAAGCTATTCATGTTCAGAAGGCCACGCGCGAGGATAAGCATCCATCAAATCACAGGCGACCGTGGTCGCCCACTATAATGCCGATGATGTTCAGTTGGGATGATTACTATTGATTAGATGAAGCCAGCGATGAACGATGAAGGACAGACCTCGGACTCAACAGGAGACCTTAGAAGGATACTACGAATATTGCAAATGTTTAACGATAGTAACGA